CCATTCACTCTCTCACTCACACCTAGGGACAATTTAGAGTTACCAATCAGTCTAACATGCATGTTTTTGGTCTGTGGGAGGAAACCGGAGCACCCGGAGAAAACCCACGCATGCACGGAGAGAACATGCAAACTCCACCCAGAAAGGCCCCTGGACCGGGGTTTGAACCAGGGACCTGCTCGCTGAGAGGCAGCAGCTCTACCAGTTGCGCCACCGTGCTGCCGTTTATTAAATTATTTATTTATTTAGTTAGTTAGTTAGTTATTTAGTTAGTTAGTTAGTTAAACCAAAAACAAAAAGGTTGGAGCTGTCATCCTCCTTATTCTCGTTTTGAGATCTCTCATTTTTGTTCCAAAACCCGACAAAGTAACATATCCACTTTGGTTTTAATTCATAATAAAGCCCAGAACACACTGAAAAGTACCAAGTATGTACCATGTACATACCTGGTACATACTTGGTACATACCTGGTACATACAAGGCGACAAGTCAGTTCATATGTGATGAATAATTTCCAGTCTCTGCATGTATTATGAATGTTTACCAGGTATGGATCTAACATGCATCCTGCCTGCACATAAGGGATGTGCCAATGATTTAATTATCAGGCTGTATAATTTATTGCTACATAAAATGTCAGTTGTGCACGTCTGTTAAATAAACTTTTGTGAGCGCTACACGAGCAGAGTGGTAACTGAATGTAGCAGCGGTTTCCTGAAACTATAAGTTGGTCTTTTTTGTTTTCAGAGTCAGAGACTTATTTGTCATTCGCATTTCATGTGGTCCATGTGGTGGAACGAGATTATGGACACAGGGTCCCAGTTACATCCAACAATAAAACGTAAAAGAAAAACAGTAATAAAATCAAAGATATGAACTAAGAAAAACATCAATTAAATATACGCTAAGCACTAGTAGCATAAAAACATTATGTCGAACAGCAGCAGGAACATGAAACAGATCAGCAGCAACATTGAAACAGATCAGCAGCAACATTGAAACAGATCAGCAGCAACATGAAACAGATCAACAGTAACATGAAACAGATCAGCAGCAACATTGAAACAGATCAGCAGCAACATGAAACAGATCAGCAGCAACATGATATGGTTTTTCACAGTGATTATTCTGGTTAGAGATTCATGAGTCTTAACAGCCTCAGGGTAGAAGCTGTTCCTCAGTCTAGTGGTTCTACACTTAATGCTCCTCAACCTCCTGCCTGAGGGGAGCGGGGCAAAAAGTGTGTGTGCTGGGTGAGTGGGGTCCTTCATGATGCAGGTGGCCCTCTTCCTGCATCTGGAGGTGTAGATGTCTGTGATGGTGGGGAGACTGACTCCAACATCTTCTGTGCAGCCTTCACCACTCTCTGCAAAGCTTTTCTTTCTGCAGCTGTGCAGCCTCCATGCCACATGTTGATGCACAGGATGCTCTCCACTGCACACCTGTAGGAGGAGGTGAGGACTGAGCTTCCCAGACCAGCTCCCCTCAGCCGTCTGAGGCTTAGTCCTAGTGTGAGCAGTTTGTCCATCAGTGTTTTTGGGATCATGGTATTGAAGGCAGACGTGAAGTCCACAAAGAGCATATGGACGTAAGAGTCCTTCTGCTCCAGGTGGTGAGAGCAGTGTGGACCACAGAGGAGATGGTGTCCTCTGTTGATCGGTTCTCGCAGTATGCACATTGATGAGGCTCCTCGTTGATGTTTGTTTTGATGTGGGTCATGACCAGTTTTTTGAAGCAACTAACAACTGAGCTGAGATACTGATGCTTGTCTTTGACTGATAGTCATCCATATAGAAAACATGCAGTCTGATAAAATAGATTTGTAATTAACATCTCACACATGTAAATCTGTTTGAAACAAATTGCAGTAAGGACAGCAATAAAGTATAAAATCTCACAGTAACAGTCACATTAGCCAAGATCAAACCAGGTTTTGCAGCAAATAAAATATATTGAACCTTTTGATGTTTTTATTCTAATGAGATAATCTTGCTCCAACAGTCAGTTTGACCTGAAAGTTTACAGCGGCTCTGCAAAGCATTTCCTAATTGAAACGTGGAGCTTTGATCAACTTTACCAGACAGATGGAAAAGTCCAATTAATCTATGAAGCTGTAGTTAATGGGGTCATTAGAGTAGAGTGGAGGGATTACGGTGTTTATGACAATAAATATATAATGTGTTTCCTGAGGCAGTTAGATGTTCTACTGAAAAACAATAATAACGAAGCTCCATCAGCCGTCAGGGTTCTTCATGCAGACGATGTCAGCAGATTTTTTACATTTATTGCGCACCGTTAGTCGAGAGCTGCTGTTTCTGGTGGGCTGTTGCAGGTTTAAGATTTAGATAATGAAATAAAATGTTTGTTGAGTTTTCAGGGTTCAGATTTTACAGGTCACTTGCTGATTTTCTTCTACCTGTGCCTTCGTGAAATCTGGTCTCACAGGTTCTCGTCAGACGTGCTCCTGTGAGGTCTGTCTTTAGACAGAGGAGCTCGTTTTATTAAGGACTCAGCAGATAAAGAAGTGGAAAGGGTAAAAAAAACCAAAAGTGACTGTTTAAAAACACCTGTGCTGTATTGACCATGACCTTTGACCCTGAGGTCACTTTTCATAACCACCATGAACTGGTTCTTTTAAAAGTTACTTTTGACCTAAATATGTTTGATGTTTTCACATATTCACTACTTAATCACTTACATTTTATTAACTTCTTACACGTTTCTTTTAAGTTTTTAAGAAATAAAAACATATTCATGAATAAAGTTGGTTTTATTTGATTATAACATGTTTAAAACATGAATGACGGTCGCAACAATCTCCACATTTAGATGAATATTCATTTGTTCTGGTGTATAATCCCCTGTATTTAACAGATTCTACTTCAGTGACTGAGTTCTGATTATTAAAGGCTGAATACATTATTCAGGATGCTGCTGGTTAGTAAACTGGTGCCCGGCTTTAATGAGTGCAAAACAAGTACATAAGTGTAGTGAAGTGAGGAGCAAGTGTCCCCCTTCTTCCTCCAATCAATCATATGCTACAACCTCCACACCTATTGACATTTAGGTGCGTCTCACCTTATGTAAAGATCTGCAGTTACAACAGGTGGAGGACTCAGCAGTCAACACTCAGTTAATTAAGCACATTTAAATCCCTTACCAGCAGCCACAAACCGCAACTCACCGGATTTAAACTGTTAAGTCTTGACCCGACCAGGTCCAAGCTAGTTTTGGTAACAGCACTGGTTTATTTCTGCTGCAGCTAAACCCTACGGTGTATTTGTGATTTGGTCAAATCGCTTATTTAAAGCAGCAGATTAAAGCAGAACACTTTTTTTTTTTTTTGGATGTTTGACTCCATCACTCACAGCATTGAATTTACATCTCTGGTTATGCATTTGAAGAGACACAATAGGGAAGGTGAAACCGTGAAGATAAACTTAGCGTTCTTGTTTAAAGTGCGCTGTTGGTGGCAGGAGAATGATGAGAAATAAACCATGACTGAGACTGAACATCACAGGAGCAAATGGAGGCATCACTCTACACCAGTGGTGTCAGAATCTGAGATCCAACCACAGTGAGCTCTTACAAAAAACCCAGAATCCATCACTGTTAGTGTTTCCAAATCAGTCTCAGGTATGAGAAGTTAGATTGTACCAGGCCCTAACATGATGCACAAATAAAGAAACTGACTGCATTTTTTTTATGATGGCTTAGCAGCAACAAATGTACCAGTTGCTAATGGAAGGGATCCATCCAGAGTGGTTGATTCAAAGCTGGACAGCCTTGCCCACGAAAGACCCTAAGAAAGGGACAAGTCCATCCAACTACCAGTCAGCCACCTGCCTCTGTACACCATGGCTCCTTTCAGGCATCACATTGGCTAAGTATGGGTCAATGCACGGAAGGAAACTGGCAGAAACATCAGTGGAGCCCAGTTAATGTTAAACAGAGAACAGTTACTAAAAACTACAAGACCAGACACACAATCTATGTATTGCCTATGTTGACTATAATAAAACCTACGACTCAGTGCCACCCAAACGGATCCTGGTATGTTTGGAAATACGCAACTCCAACAGGACGCCGAGAATCTTTGTCTATTCAAAGTTAAATGTGCAACCACTACTGTTCTGCAAAGACTTGAACCACCTCAGTCAAATCATAAAAAGGACTATTTATGAATATTAGTCCAAAGTGAAACATTCAGTCACCTTCATTATATGGGTGATGTCAAGCTGTATGCCAAAAATAAGCAAGACATCCCCTCACCAGTGTATGTACTGCACCAGTACAACAAGAACATTGGAATTCCAATCAAACTGGATAAATGTGGTAGAAACATTTTCAAAAGAAGCAAGAGGACCATGGAAGGGGTTGACCTACCAGAAGGCAGCAACATTCAGGCAGGTACAAGGAATGAATAGCCTTCAGTTTAAGGCTACACGAATGACTCAGAGGACAAACTCAATGTGGAAGAAAAAGACAAGAGGAAGCTGCAGTTAACCTGTGAGTAAAACTTGCACGACATCCAGAAAATTAACCAAGTGGCTGCTGTAAAAACATCATACTAGTGTCTAAAGAGGAGTGGACTGAGGGACATTACAGTGGCACCAATCATGGAAACACAGGAGCAATAGAGACAGGATCCAACATGCAAGTTATGCTAAGATGCTGACACAGTCCAGGATATAAAATGCAGGCAAAGCATTTTGTGCATGGACTGCTATAACCAAGAAGCAATAAGCATCGACACAGGTGGTGCACAACGACTGTGCGAGATTCAAAGTCAACCAAGAGTAATGTGTTGACTTTCAATCAATAAATGAGTTTTGTTGACCTATGCCCTTAATAGAAGATACATGTGATCAATACATCTAACTTATCTCCATGAGATAAAATGGATGAAGCAGCCCTGAAAGCTCAGGTTTTCATATAATTGCTGCTGTAGCTCCGCCCCTGAGAGAGATTAATTGACTTATCTCAGTAGGTGGAGGCTGATTCTCTCTGCTGTTCACAGGCAGAGCAAAAGTCTACCTCACATTTCTCTGCGGATCACACAGGTAGGACAGAAACAGCCGTTCAGGTGGTGTTTTCACATTGATGTTGCTGTTTGAGTTTCCTAATTGTTGTAAAGCGTTGAGTCTTTCTGCTCTTTACTGATGTTGATCGAAGGCGATTCCATACGGTTATCTGTAATTTTCTAATGTGTTTAATTTAAAGCATCATGTGTTTAAAGTGTAGAGTTGTGTAGAGTTTACCAAAGAACATTTTTTTGTGTGTGTCAGTCTTTTAGAGAAATTGGTTTTCAATATTTATCTTCGTAGTGACAAGAAAAAATGGTTTATTTTACTCTACAGTTATTTTCGCCATGTCCAAGTAAATCCTTGTTTTTCAGTCAATTCAAAACCTCAATCTGAATAATGAGAGGAAATGGGATAAAAGAAAGAAAAATTAAATCATTTAATTACTAAATAATTGTGATTTAGGTGTAGCAGCAACCAGTCTTTCAAATGACTTGCAAAAACGTATGTTTTCATTTAAATTTCAACCTTTTCGTTTAAAATGTCCACAAGTTCTAGACCATTGTCGTTTATTAACCTTTCTCAAAGTAGATTTCTTGGGTGCATCTGATGGAGCATCATCCTGAATTTTCTTACAACACTTTGAGGAAAATTTGACGGTTTTCAAAAAATTCATGATGATTTGTTCTCCAGCCTGACAGTGTCTAACTAGATGATATCTATTGATAGAACCTCATGAACTGTTACCACTCTAGACGGTCTGATCAGTGTTGGGTTATCAGTCTCCATTAGCTTTAAAAAATTCACTTGGTTGGTTCCTCTGTGTCACCAGTCTGTTTGGGATTATCAATCCAGCTTGTCATCTTCAATATTTGCATCTCAGTGGACATGCTTACTTGAATCTCTTCACATTTTCTGTTTAACCTGGATAACTTTTAAAATGACAAAGTGAAAAGGTCCTCTTGAAACTGTCAGACACAACATATTACTCAACATGCATTTAGCCTAAGTTGAAACATCCTTGACTCCTGTTGCTGGTTTTTCTCGTAGATGACTTTCCTAATGAGCTTACCAAGCACCTTCTGCTCTTTTCACAGCATTTGTGTTCACAGGTTGAACTGCAGGGCAAGGACTAACATCAAGAGGAAACTTGCAGCTATAACAAATAATCTTCGGTTTACTGCTTTTGACGAGATAGAGTAGGAAAATCCTTTGGCTGAAGTTGTGTAACAACTGGCCTAGAATAGCCAAGAGACACAAACCTTAAAATAGTTCCTAAAGATTACCAACACCGCCAGCAATGGGTAACAGCAAGAGTGGAGCCGTGTCCAAGGAGATCCTCGAGGACCTGAAACTCAACACCAAGTTCTCAGAGACTGAGATAGTCCAGTGGTATGAAAACTTCAAGAAGCAATGTCCAACAGGACGCATCAGCAAACAAGAGTTTCAAAGCATTTACAGCAAGTTCTTCCCTGAAAGTGATGCCAATACTTACGCCCAGCACGTCTTTCGCTCTTTTGACACTAATGATGATGGTACACTAGACTTCAAGGAGTACATTATTGCCCTCCACATGACATCAACAGGCAAGACCACAAGCAAGCTGGAATGGGCGTTCTCACTGTATGATGTTGACAAAAATGGATACATCACCAAGTCAGAGGTCTCAGAAATCTGCTCGGTGAGTTTTGAAAAAGCAATCATGGTGTGAGTTTGAGCAAAGTGAAGTGTTCTGAGTTTGGAAAGGTTTTTCTTGAGAAAGTAGAGCTATCAACCCACACACCATCTAAAATATAAACAACACTATCATCGGTATAGAGTTTTACATCACTCCATCCTATATAATTTCCCAGCTTTCTCTTAAAGTATCTTATTTGTTCTGTTCTGAGCCACATGTGTCACCAGTTGGCGAGTGGTGGGGTCCCCCTTTGTTTTCATTCATTCAACCTTTATTTATACAGGCTGGTCTCATTGAGTATCGAGGACTCATTTACAAGAGAGACCTGTACAGGTCACCAGATCGTTGTGAGGCCATGGGAAGGATGTATATGACAAACAGTCATGTGCACACATGTCAAAGGGCATGTGACACAACATGCATGTTTGTTTTTAAACTATAAATGGAAACTAGTGTATTCAAGGAAAAAAACATAGCAACTCAGCAGAGATATGAACCATAGATCTTGCTGAGAAGCTACAGTGTTTACTGCTCTACCTCTGAGTAGCTTTAAACAAAATTATGTTGAGGATCGTTAGATTATTTCAATTAAATCAACAAACCATTGACAAATCAAGGACTTGTCATTAATTTGAAGTAAACATAATAATAAGATGACATAATAACTGTTAACTGATAACCTTTTCTATCATAAATGGCATAAAGTACATGGCACATCTTAGTATGACCTCAACACATGCTGAAAATCTTTTTCTTCTTCTTCAGTTCAATCAGTAAAAGCTGTTCAATAAGAAATGTTTAAACAAAACAGTGATGGTGAAACTGTCTTTCAATTAAAAAACTGTGCAGCTATTGTTTTACACAAACAGTACATTATGAACCAGTGGCTCATTTGCAGATCTAGTGACTATAAATGTCCCACAGTGGTGAAGCAGTGAGTTATTTATGACCGTGCTAAACTCTTGTAAAGATCTTTCTTTCTTACTTTCCTTTTAAAAAGAGCAAGTTATTTAGAGTTTGACTGCAAATCTGATTGATTATAAAAACAGAATTCTTCCCAGTCTAACCTTTATGGGCTGCATGCATATCATGTCATATTTGACATGGAAATGTGTTTAATTTACTTTGTCACTTTAAACATTTGAAACTGCGAGTATCTGATTGGTGAACCCAGAGGATAAACAAACATTTTGATCGAAAAATGGTCAAATATTTAAGGTTTGTTGATTTTTTTAGTGGGCAGTGACATAAAAATGAGTCTGTTAACTGTAATCTGTGATAACCTAAAATAAATATGTAGACAAGAATGTGATTAGTGTACAACAAAACAGACCATCCATCCATTCATCCATCCATCCATTCATCCATCCATCCATCCATTCATCCATCCATCGATACATTCATCCATCCA